AACTAAATGAGGGAGGATGCCATTTTAGAGTCTCCACAGAGAGGATGTTGAAGGGGAAATGAAGGAAATGCACAGTAAATCTCAGAAAATATGATTTATTGACAAAAAAATCCAATAAATATGTAAAGCTTATAATATATTTCACAAAAAAAAAAAAAAAAAAAAAAAAAAAAAAAAAAAAACCCTCACAAGAACTGGAGATGCAACTATTCATGAACAACCAGGAATAGGAATAGGAATAGGAATAGGAATATGAGAGTGAAATAATAAAATGTAGGTCTGGTTCACCCTACTATTATTATTGCTCTATATAGAACAAACAAACCTTATGAATTAGGCAAGATTGATTGTGAAGGACACATATGGGTGTGCATCAGATTCTCCTCCAAGACCAGCCATCCCTGCTCCCATTTCATCTTCAGTTTTCCAATATGTACTGCACAATCATTAAAATACTTGCCTCATAAGCAACCACATCTATAAGATCTATTCTATATAACACAAAATCCACATGGACATGAGACGTTCACACTGAGACACGCTTTTTATTTCTTTCTATAAGTTCAATGACTTTAGTAAGAGTGGAGGATTTGAACATTTAATCTCAAGAAAGGTAATAGGTGCTTAGATTGTGTTCGAATAAGTGACACATAAACAAACTAGAATATAGGCATGACGCCTACTTTAGACCCCAGGTTTACAGATTTCTTCTGTTTTGATTCTAAACTTCTGAATCATCTACTCTTGCGTATAAATTTTACATGAAAAAGATCTATACTCGGTAACGTACCTGTTAGCACTGTCGCACAAACCTTCAAGGATTGACCTAACTTTCTTCTCACTTTTAACAGATGGTGCCAAAACAGATGCCTGCAAATCATTGACGGAATCAGTTGTGTCAAAGAAGGAAATGCTTGGCAGACACCAGGGAGCAAATGCAAGATACATACCAAGAAGGATGGTGGTAAACCATATCTCAGGATACTCTCAGCAAAGACACGTACAGCACAAAAGTGCATCCAGGAAATGAAGACCTGCGTTTATGCAAGAAACTCAATTAGAGGAAACGATGAAAATAGCATGCATTTTTATAGGGACATGTGGAAAAAGGAGCAACCTCAGCATAACTAGCGTAGGACCACTGCAATAAAGAACTTCTCATACTTTCCTGGTCCTGCACCAACTTTTCTAACTCCTGTTTTCTACTCTCCTGTGCTTCTGGACTATATTCAAATTCACGAATCTCCAGCACATTAAAAGTTAAAAGAGATTAGGCGTGAAAAACTATTCTATATTAATAACTGGGTTTTAAAAGATGATTCACAATGAATTAAAAATTCACCTGGAACCCTCTTTCACGTCCGCTTGTTTTGAAATTGTCTGCAACGCGACTAAAGAGTGTTACAGTGTAAAGGGCATACTCATTATCCTCGTATAACTTCTTGGAAGACCTGGGAACCTAAAAAAGCTTAGCTAATTATGAGAACATAAAAAGAACAGAACAAAAGACAAGAAGCAGCAGCATTATTGTCCAAGACATTTCGACATTGGAGGCTATACCTACAGTAGTTCATTTCAACTACTCTAGCGTAATCTTAGTCAGCCATAGAAAAGTTACCATGTAATATTACCATCCAAGTAAAATGTTGTACAAGGAGTTAAAAGATAAAAATGCAAACTTACCACATAGCTAGTCAGTGTTTCATAGCTAGATAGCCATTCTTTCTGTGAATACTTGGGAACAATCACAAGAAGGGTTTCGAGATGTTCTGAGGTAATTATGTCCTCTGGTTTTACAAGATTGGAAATATCACGGACTGCCAAGCTGATGAAACCAAGTTCAATTAGAAACACCAAATAAGCTAAACACAAATGTATTGATTATACGCATAACATACCTTCCACTTTGCTTTCTGTTAATGGCATTAAGTTGACTCCGCACGTTATTGTACTCAGCAACCCGAATCTAGCAACAGAAAAAGCTTTCAATGAAAATTTCTATTTGAAACGCCTAGGCATCCAAAAAAATAATTGAAATATTTGAAGCAGATAACTAAAAGGTTTTGGTTATTTTTGGATAGTTTAGTACCCAAGGTAAGTAAAGAAAGCTAGTTTCATAAACATACAGGAAGTCACCAATGAGAAGAAGCGTCTGCATTGAAAATAAACTAGCACACTACTGCAATTTAGAAAATCAATGGTAAAACCTAAGCATTGACATTTCAGTTTGGTTGTTCAATCCCAATGTGTGTCTAACATTCAAACCCCAGTCAAAATGTGTTAGATGCTCGTACACACTAGAAACATGTTGAAGACTTGCTGAACCATCTAACATGTCAGACAGGCACTTGTGAATATTTGTTGAATCATTATTCGAACAAAAGTGTTATATTGTTTATTTATTTATGTTTGAAAATACATCACCAAAATATATATGAGAAAAGCAATAACAGAGTACAACATCAACCTTTTTTAAAGGACATAAGTGCACAAACATAATTGATCTGAAATTCATTTTCTCAAAAGGTATTGAATAATTCATTTTCTCAAAATGGTTCCTATGAATAGTACCATTAAAAAAGTAAAATTAACCAACTCACTCTGAGTTATTGCATACTTCATCAATTATATCACAATGTCACAAAGTAAAACATAGTTTAAACGTTAAAATCATTGACCTGTATGAAAATACTCAAATATATTTCAAATATAAGATTTAATACATGTCTTTATCATGTTCATATCTTAAATTTCTACAAAATGAAGTATCACGCATATCCATGCCCATGCTTCTTAGGAAATAATTATAAAAGCTTCAGCACTTCAATTTCCTTAGTAATTGCATTGCATATGGAAGCTTCTGCACTAGCTAATCATCTCAAACTCTAGTAAAGTCTATTGCAGTCTCATCCTATATTAATGGCTACTGCCTTGCTGACAAGGGAGATCTAGAGACATATTATTATTATATGATCGTGATACATTTTAGAATTTAAGAACTTCCTAAAAGTTACTTCACAGTGAAAGACGTGGGATTTCAAATCTCGTCCCTCAACTCCTACCTTCAGCAAAGCCACTTTTTTTTTCTCTCTCTCAATAATACAACCTTGAGATGGAAGTATAAATTTTTTACAGCTAACCATTAGAAGCTTGAATATTCTCTCATTTTAAGAATATCAAGGGGTGGCGGTAATGCATTTAGAAGACGAAAGTAACAACAAATATAAAGAAAATCATGATTCGCAGCAACCATGAAGGGCAAGGGAAAAACAAATGCTTACTCCATCATCAAATTAAAATATTAATAATGGTAATAAATTATTAAAAAAGACAGGGCGATAGCAAAAATTGAGGATAATGAACTTTTTTTCTAAGTTCCATTTACGTTGCTATATGATTTTGGAATCTTATGAAGAAACTTTTCCACAATCTCAACAAAACTTGTGATAACCACATTTCAATCTCAATCTAGGCACCCGCTCAAGCAAAGAAACGATACCTTGAGGTCATCCTCAATCTTGGCCACTTGAGTGTGAATGCTATCCACAACATCTCTCAGAGGCGACATTGTTGGGTACTTGGCTTCATCCCACACAAACCTTCCATTGACAAACAAAATTCAGCACATCACACAGACAAGAGACCACAAAATCCGAGCCAAATTTACCGGATTGAAATCATTTTTTTTAACCAAAAAAAAAATGCTCATTTTACCTAGTAAGGTACGAATCGACGGGGACTCCATCAACCGTCAAGCCGTGGCTCTCCACACCAGAAACCTTCTCCAGTTCCTCGATCTGCCGTCTGATCTTTTGAGAAACTCCTTCCACAAAGCTGTTCGACTACACAATGAAATGGATTTTGATAAATCTAATGCCATTCTAAAAACTGGAATCATACAGATCGCGAAGAGTTCTTTTCCAAATTTCAGTTAAAAATCCACATTAAAAAAAAAATCGCTTCGGAAAATTCAAATACGCATAGACAACAATTGAATCAAAAAAACAGGAAAGAAAGAAATACCTTCAGGAGATCATCGCTAAGGGAAAGAAGCGAATCCAGCGTTCCAACGCGGAGATTAGGGATATTGAACTAAACAAAAGAAAAATCATCAACATAAAAAAAAGTAAAATCACAAAAAATCAAACAGATTTGAAGATTGATTTGGCGGTGAAATGCGTACTCTGTAAAGAGGAGTATCGAAAGAGTGCTTGGAGATTTGTTCTTGGAGACGATTCCATAGGGAAGAAGCGGAGCCTTGAACGGGTAAAGAGACCATCCAGTATCGGCTCGCCATTACAGCTTTGTTACCAAGCTAGCTGTGGAAGTATGAATGAAGTGAACAATTGCAGAGAAGAAGGAAAAACTGGTGCAGCCGAGAGATCAAGACTTTCTCTCTCCCATTCTCTCTCTCTCTCCCTTTCTCTCTATCTTTTTATTTGATTGAGGAATAACTTTACAGTTTCATCTCAAGATCTGAAGATTTTTCAACGGCTCAGATCTGTTTTCACCATGGACGTGTAAGACACTAGATCCATGATTCGTATATTTATCTTTCTTTTCCGTATTTCCCCTTTTTTTCTTTGTTTTCTTTTTTAAGTTTTAAAATATTTTTTCGAAAAATAAAAAAATTAATAAATTTTACTCCTAAAACATATGATTTCATTGTTATAATTGTTATATTTTTTTTGTTTATTAAATAAAATTGAACAGCACGAGCTCTTCCACACAACCCCGCTTTCACGGTTTAAACTGCTCCCATTCCCCATTTTCAAATGTTTACATATGATCAATTGAAGTATAACTTAATTAAATACTCGACTAAGAAATAAGATATTTAAACAATATTCGTGAGAGATTACAAATATCATTTCCACAATTTAAAGTTTAAATCTTTATACAACAAATACAATAACAAAGAAATTACTGAGATAAATTTCATAAAACAAAACGAATTAAAATTCTCTATCAGTAATTATTCTTTTAATTGTAAATGATACAACACAAACATCACAAACATGCATAAATCTTATATGAACATGTTCATCATTCTAATGTCACAAAACCAAAGTGTTTAGCATAAGGATCTGTAGAACTTAAATGCACAAACTGAAAACTATATAATAAAATTGGGTAAGGAAATGTATATGATATGATAAGGTTAGCCGATGAACAATAGTAATAGTATACAAACTTCTTCTTCTTCAAGCCGCCGCAGGATCATTTATTACACCCAAGAAATCATCTTTGATTGTTCCTATACAGAACTGCAAACCAAAGCAGCCAACTCAGAAAAGAAGAGAACAAAATTTAGATTCGGATATGGAGATATAAAGTTTTGAATATTTTCACCACTTTAGAGCATATGCTAAATAGATTGATTATAATAGCAGACACGACTTTGAACTTTCATATGAAAAGTTAACAATATTCTTCTAGAAGATGCACATTTCATACATTCTGTCTCGGTCCCCTTTAGTATTTTTATTTCTTATTTTTTTAAAAAAAACTAATATGTACGTTGTCAAAAAACTTGTATTTGTTTTTAGAATTTGGCTAATAGTTCAAATGTTGAAAATAAGATCAATTTTTAAAAACTAAGAACCCAAAGCTAAATGACTTTCAAATCGGACTTAAAAGATATCAACATGTGCATCTACCCCCAAACTATCTCTAAAGGTAGCAAAAGTTCTAAATCATCCAGCTTGCCACTCAGGATTTAAAGAACTTAGGAACATCTCAAGCGCTTGCTACCCAGATAGTGAAAGAATAAGAAGCATAAAATCATATGGAGACATCTACAAACAATAATAAATAGGAAAGGCATACGATTTCAGTTGCATCCACTCGAGTCCCAATTATCTTTAATCGAACTTCACTGTCCTTCTGAATTTTAACCTACAGGAGAAGAGAGAGTAATTTAGTACAAGGAGCACTAGCCGTTGATGTTATAGAAGGCATGTAGAATAAAAATATACCGATCCATCCGAAGTGGTATAGTTTGGCACATCTCCAGATTGGAACTCCATGTCATCTGGAATCAACTGAAACATAAGATGTGATATTAGGTTTACTAATTGAGCACATTTGTGTGTGTTCGTGTGAGTGGGCGGGAGGGGGTAGGAGTCATTTGGTATGTTGAAATCGATCATGAAGCTAAGTTCATTAAGTATATGGTCTGTATTTAGGTCAGGACAGATTATTGCGTTGATGGCTTGAAAATGAGGAAATTTTGTTATAGGATTCCTGAGAATGAGATGCATGTGTAGGCATTGCCAAGAGTAAAATTATACAAACATATCTCAGGGATAAACCTGCATGCAAAATGCCCCCTTAATGATATTCAATTCAGCATAGCACAATTAAGAAAGACCCCCCTAAGAAACCTCAGCATCACGGCCATGCTGATCCACCACACACACACACACATACCTGGTAAGGATAGATTTCATAATTTCCATGAAATAATTAAAAAAGGTCCAAGCCCCACAATCCAAGATATTTGGTGGTTTGAAACGTCAGAGAGGAAGAAAAGAAAAAAGATAATTAGAATAATTAATAAATATATACTCACATGATTTGAAACAAAAATCTGAACAGGTCCAGCTTCAGCAAAGAAACCCATCTGCAATAGTTGGAGTTGCAGCCATATTAGTACTTATAATTGGGAAAAAAAAAAAAAAAACTTTATTTTCTCACTCCATTGAGAGCTCGTATTAGTCTCTTTTCATTCTTCAATGAAAAGTTTCATTTCTTGTATAAAAATAAAAAATTAAAATTAAAAAGAAGAAGATAAAAGAAGGTAGTGTGGCATGTACCAACCTTGTTTACCATAGTAACAACTGCTTCTAAGATTTCTCCCTTGAATGGCCGAAACACTACACATTGGTATTTAACCGGAAAAGTGACAAAACCTGTCCCATCACGAATCAATCCTTTCCCAATATTCTCAATTCCCGTAATCGCCACTACAAAACCATGTCGGCCGCTGTGTCAAAGTACATAGGTTTTTCAATAACAAAATCCCTGTAGTTGCTCACGAGATGAAAGAGGTATCAAACTTTCAAAAGAAATAGCATCCATCGAACTGTTTTTTTCTTTTTAAGTGAGAAACCAAACATTCATTGAAAATAAACGAAAGAATACAAGGAGAATATAAAAAAACCAACCCCAAAGAAAGACAAACTAACATAATGAGGGGCTTTGATCAAGCTGCTTTTTTTTCATCAGTTCATGAACTGATATGCATATGCAGCAAAAGGATCAGTCTACTCTCTAAATATAATTTCAAGCTACCATGCAGCTCGGGAAAAATGCAAGGGAACAAAATTTAAACCACCATCAATTTTGCTCCCTTTATCCCATTAAGGCAATAACAGAATGACTTTAATAATTTTGAGCCTTTGTGCATTGTGTTAGAGGAGAATGTCTTCTCCAAGTTTGAACATTCTGGACAGTCAAGTAAGGAGTCAAATTTGAGTGTTTTCTTGCTAAGGTTTCTCTCTGTATTGTTCCCCTAAATTTAAGCCTCTAGGTCCAAGTCTAAGGGAAAATGTGAGAATTAAGCGGCAGGGCAGTAAGGGTAAGAGATTTAGTGAACTTTATTTGGAATCTACCATCAATTATACATAATACAGGCTTCTATGGGATATTCTGTATAGCCTTTGTGAGAAAATCTGGCATTTGGCAGGTATTTTTGTGTAACCAAGTTTTCCTATATGAAAATTTTAGTGTTGGCAGTGTTACCAAGTCCGGGAGGCTTTGTAGCAAAAATTTATAAAAGGTTATGGCCTCTTCTATTTGTTACCATCATTAAATCATTGAAAGATGAGAGGTCTTTGCATTCGTTCATGAAGAGATTGAAGTTATTGGGATATTTGAGCCGTTCATTTGAGTCGTTCAGGCATACAACATCACCCTAGGACCTAACAATCCAATATCAAATCTATAGCTCTGCATTTTGTCGTAGGCTTTTTATTATAAGAGTTCAAAATGAAAAGAACATCAGCAGTAATTTTCATCAAACAAAAGGGAGGGAAGTTAACAAACCTACAAGTGCCCTCGACATCTTTCATGAGTTTCGTTACCAAATTCTCACGGAGGTTTCGGCCAAAATGCCGTGGATGCAGCTGCATATTCCTCTCCAAAACTATGTGGAAGAACATAGTGGCTCCCTTTACCTGAAGAAAAACCCATTTGAGCTCATTGATGAATGCAACTTCTACAGCGAAAGAAAAGTTCACTTGTAAAATATAGTAAGGTATACACTCGAGAATAACAAGGAGAAGTTAAAGAAACGACTAGCCAGATGTGCATAATAACCGCAAAAAGGAATAGCAGACTGGTGTAGTGTTTCATCAAGCCAATTATAGAAAACATAAACTTCTCTTATTTCCAATAAATTCAAAGGAACATTCGAGGAGAGAACTTAAATCTACACTAAATACAAAAGTGGCTGAAAAGGAGAATTTCTAGAACCCTTTGAACCCTTAGATGAGCCTATTTTTACCCTAAACATTATATCTGACTTCTCAAATCAAGAACACTAAGTACAAAGCACATAAATGGAATTACATTTACGTTCAGTGAATTTGAAGCATCGTTAGCGATCGATCAATCAAAACAACTCCTCCTTGTTTCATTAGACAAGCCCTAATTTGTGTGTTTTCAAGTGAGAAAAAAAAGACATCGATGGAGACTAAGAGAATACCAGTAAGAACAAGACAGTAGAGAATCAGTTCAAGCAGGTATGTTAGACGCGGCGGCGGCAAAAGCGGAAGAAAGACGGCAATGGGCTGTTGAAAGGGAGGAGAAGACAGCGTGAAGAAGAAGACCGTGGAAGACTGAGCGGAAGTCACTAAATTGTTTTAATTTTAGAAAAATACTTCTTTTAAAACTTATTAAACAACACAAACCTATTACAAAAAATAAACTTCAAAAGATCAAAAAGGTATTTTTCCTTTATTTTATTTTACAAAGGGGTTTTTTAAACAATAAAATGGGTTATTATTTATATCAGAAAATTACTCAGTACTTTTAAAATTATTTTACCATTAACCGAACTTGTTAGAAATTACCCGGTTCCGGTTCTTTCAAAATTACTCCCCCGCTCATCTTAAGTCGTTAATTTGCATCTAAATTGAGTTCAATTTAGTCATTCTAGGCCGTAGTTAGAAAATTACCCTATTCTTTCAAAATTACTTCACTATTCATCCTAAGTCGTCATTAGAAAGGTACTCTATTCGCTCACCGTGAATTATCGTTACAAAATTAAAATAGATGGTATCCAAATTGAATTTTTTGTCTTAATTCTTAAAGACTATATTGAAATGTTTTGTCGCAAAAAACCCACAAATTGTTTTACAATAACGATATAGTTGGATATTACTTACTAACTAACTAACGTTTAAAATACCCAACACTACTCAAGAAGAGATACACAAGTCGTTTCTAAATATCACTTAATAACCAGCATCCAGATTTCAAAAAAAGAGTTAGAATATCAAGAGGAAAAAAGAATAATTGATGGATTTGAAATACACTTCTCTTCTCAAATGTGGGCTAATCTGTCATTAGATTGCTCCTTTCTTTGCTAGGAATGTATAAATAAGAGATAAAATGACTCAAACAATCTGATTTAACTTAATTATAAACAGAGTTGTATTGGTCTATGAATTTTTCTAGAACATAAAAAATGATGTTTTTACTTGTAAAATGACTTTGGTCAAACGCAGTATTTCTGTTAATTTAGCCAAATTTCATTCGAACCACATTTTGAGGGAGGAGTACAGTGCTGGCTCGCAAGTTGATTTGGTGTCGTCGTTTAAGTGAGTTGATTTGGCCTACGTTTAACATGGGTCATCATCATTTGGAGTTAGTTGTTTGGAGCCTGAAGTCGTGGTGATCGACAAAAGTCGTCATCACAAGCCTCCACGGCCAAGGGGAACGCCAACCATCACCAAAGAAGAAAGAAGAATATGGGGGCGTAGGACTACAGTTTCCATGAAGGGAAGCATGAGATACAAACTTATGGTTCATATTTGGAATAGAAAGAAGAAAGAAGAGATTGAAAAGGAATGAAATTAAAAAGAAACTGTTCATATCAATCAATGCAGAGACTAGATCCCTGCACACAGGTTGAGAACTGCACACACAAACAAAAACAAAATATGCATCCAAACTGAAACCAGAGTTCATTCCATCCCCCAATTCCCATTGCCAGATCCATATAATAATATAATTCCAGGAAGTTTCTTCACCAACCACAAAGTCATACATCATGCCTCCTTTTCCTATGATCATCACTACACACTTCCAATTAGTTCTTAGAACAGTACTTGGGAGCTTAATTTTACAGCAATCAAATGGTTGAAAGATTATCAAAGATGATGGAATGTGTCTCAGCGGTTCTCCTGAATTCCCACGTACGGAACGACATGATTCTTGTAACAGCCCAAGCCTAAGCCCAAGCCCAAGTCCACCATTAGCAGATATTGTCCTCTTTCGACTTTCCTTTTCAGGCTTCCACTCAAGGTTTTTAAAACGCATCAGATAAGGAGACCTTTCTACACTCTGATAAAGAATGTTTCGTTCTCCTCCCCCAACCAAGAATCCAAATAGGTAGAACGTGACAGTCTAGATCACACGGTCTTCAAACAACTTCTTGTGTCACCGAGATATTCTACCAACACCTGGGGTGAATCCATGTCAGGGAAAGTAAATAACTTTCTCATCCTCTCTCACCTCTCATAACAACCAAGCCAAACTAGTTTGAAAAATTAGTCAGACGTAAACCACAGACTTTCTTTTTCTCTCTTTTTGCCATGATGACACAGTTGGATGTCACTCAACGTTTCATCGGAGTTTTATGCCTCAATTCTTTCAAAATCACTCCACCGCTTACTTGGGAAGGGATAGCATAGGTTGTTTTCAAAGGGGTGGGGTGGCTGTTGAAGACTGAAGCCACCTTAAACACTACTACTTCGAAAAATTTTGTCAGAATAAATCCACACAAAGATTATCCAAAAGTTAGATATGACTTCTAGCTACCCTCCAAATTAAGTTCCCATGTCTGAATTAACTACCCCTACCCCTACCCCACCGCTCCTTAGGTCGGGTAGCATAATTTCTGTCTACAAGAGAAAGGGGAGTGTCTCTCAAAGGGGCTAAGCCACTTACCAAGTGACAACTTCTAGGACTAAAAAGTTTGGAGTAGCTAGCTTAATAGAGTTGTGAATTTTGTGCCTATTCTTATCTCTCCCCCATGGTTCAGATTTTGATTCTATCCACAACTGAAGAAGCTTTGTGATCTCCCCCATTCCACCCTCCACCCTCCACCCTCCACTCTCCCCCCTTGGATTTTGGATTTAGTAGAAGATCCTCCTCCTCTAATCTTTGGCACATGTCCTACACCACCAGTTCATTGTTTTTTTCAATGAGAACCGGTACATTGTTTCTTAATCTCCACCCCCTACACCCATACCCTCTCAGCATATTGTGCATATCATACATATCCATACGCTACAAAAAATGAGACAGAGATAGAGTTCTATCAAATCAGTTACACATGAGCATGAGGAAAAATAAAATTATACCAGCACCCTTAAAACATACCACGGATAAAGATTTCCTAGATAAACAAGTTCGATAGAACCAAGAATGACAGTACCAAAAACCAATGATGAAGACTCATATAGTCACATATATCGTCAAACGCACTAATAAGTAGCAAAGAACAACAATCAACATGAGCCTATCACTAACTTCTCCTGCAACAGAGATAATTTGACAAACAGAAAGGAAGAAAAGAAATGTAAAAAACAATTCTTTCATTGAACAGGATTTCTCCCTAACAGATTAGCAAGTTATTGTCATCGAGCGAGTCTTTTCCAAGGAAAATTTTCACTCCAAGAGGCATTTGCATGATTACAATCTATGAGAGGAAAAGATCTGCAGCCCAATGTTTTACTGTTCTCAAGGTATCTTCTTAGTGGCAGGCTTTACTGCAATAATTACAAAGTCTCAAGCACAGCTTTCTCAATGAGCAAGAATTATATGTTCTTCTGATATCCACTAATTTAGCTTAAGTGAGTAAAATTTTGGCTTTCAATTAAGAGTGATGAGAACAATTCCCCTAGGAAGAAAGACAATACTGATTCTGCGTTGTTCAGAAAAGCATGTTAAGAAAACCCATAGATGCAAGCAATGCTTCGGATATCAAAGTGGGAAGAAAACATGTAAGCTTAAAAATCAAATTATATGATGAAATTCATTACAATATCAACTACTTCTACTAACTCCAAGGTTCAATTTCCGAGTTTACTGACCTTCCTCGTTTAGATTCAAGCATCGCTATCGCTGCTATCATCGTTTTCGTTCCCCAGATCCGTAGCAAAATAAACTCCAGGATGAACAGTCCGCCTCCGCGTTCTTGAAGGAAGTATGTTGTCCAAATCGACCTCCGTAAGCGGATCATCCGACAAATCGCTCTCTTCAGAGCCTAACTCACTTCCATCATCGTCGTCTTCCTCCTCATCAATAAATTTCCCTTTTCCTTTGTCGTCCTTCATGATACCCTTCCCCTTACGGTCCTCATCCACTTTCCCACTCAACTTTCCACCATCGTCACTGTCATCTTCCTCCTCATCCTCGTCGCTGTCCACCTCCTCGTAATCCTCATCTTCTGCTTCTCCCACATCCACACAAACTCCACCATCTTTCCCTCCCTCAACCAAAGAATCGCCATCAATCCCTTCACCACTCACACCATTCTTCACAGCATTGCAGGAATCGCCCTCAACCACTTCGAGCTTCTGAATTTTGTTCGAACGCTCCTGTTTCTCTTCAGAGCAGGGATCAACTTTGCGCTTCGCATCAAATACGGGCTCCTCTGTATTAGTAGTTTCCGCCATTAACGTGGCGCAGAACCCACCTTGGAAGCTTCGAGCCCTAATTCCAGAGTAAAATCAACGAAAACGAATTAGGGTTTTCAATAGAACTGTAGAATCAAGGATTTCGATTAACTTCACAATTCCCAGTTCCAAGCTGTCCGAAGCTTCGAAGCGGTAAAAAAAAAAACAATTACCCTCAGTGAAAAATTGGAATTTAACCCAAAAGTAAAAAAAAATTAATAATTAGGTTAAATAATGTAGGAGAGCCGTGCATGAGCTCCATTTGGAAGCCATACTGCCAAGACTGTGCAGGGTGTGTCGAGCTGTCAGGCAGAAAAAATCAAGGGAAAAACTGTAAGAAACCTAATATAGAATATTGTCCTAATACACCGTCCTCGATCACGTTATATTATTTGTTTTTGACTTTTATGTTATCGGGTGCGTGTCACTCGTGTTACTTCCGTGTATTTCTATTTGTAGTATGATTATAACATTCTTTATAAGGGTATGGAAATTTCGTAAAACGCATTTTTAAAATCTTGATGAAAAGTTTGAAAAGGAAAGCTTAAAGAAGATAATATACGCTAGCAGTGGGCTTGGGGTGTTACAGTTGGTATCAGATCTAGACACTGGGCAATGTGCCAGCAAGGAGGTTGAGGCTCGAAGAAGGGTGGACACGAGACAATGTGTCAACAAGGATGTTGGGCCCCAAAGGAGAGTGGATTGGGGGATCCAAAGGTTGGACGGTGAGATCTCATATATTAGTTGAGATCCTTAAACAACCCTTAAATGTAAAATATTTATTTATTTATTTTTAATAACTTAATTAACATTTACAACTCAGTTTTACTCTTAAAAATTATTTATAGAATTAAATAAAATAACAATAATGACTAAAATTCTTCAATTATTAGTTTAAAAGCAATCTCCAAAACTCTGGTTTATGAGAGGTTCTAATTCACTATTCAAGCTTCAAAATAAGGCAAAGAACTCCACAATATTACAATTCACCCATTGTATTTAAAAAAATATATATTTAATAAAAAGAACTCTTGAATAATAATTTTTATTTTTATTTTTGGTTTCAATCCTACCAATACAAAAACAGAGTTATAACCCAACCAAACCCTATTTTAAAAAAAATAAAAAATATTTATATTTATAATCAATATTAATAATGTATTGTGGCTTGTAAATATTTGATATTTAAAAAAAAGTACGGTAGGTTTTTTTTTAAATAATTAAAAAAAAATGAATAGCTTAGCAAACGAACTAAACCCAACCAAAAAATAGAAGGTCGAGTTTGGTTAGATCATGAACTCTATACGAGTTGCTCGAGTAACCAACCAAAAAAAATTAAAACTCAACCGCAACTCATATACATCCTTAATTATGGCTGATTGAAGTAGCACGGGTAAGACGGTAGGAAACACAATGCAACGACTTTCAAAGCTTGGCATTCTTTTATTATACAAACTTGCATGGTCACATTTTAGCACCAAAATAATTAAGTTCAACCTTTCTCCTCCTCCAAAGGTTTTTCTAGCTAAATATTTGATCATGTTGTGGAACCATGCACCAGCTTCTTTACTATTATTGTAGCTATGTCTCTTAGTAGAAGTCATCGAGAGACAAGTTCTCGACTGATCCAAAGCCTTCGATACCTCCCACTCTCGAGTAGTTGGTCATTGAGCTACTCATAAAGTCAAATGGCGAATCGTTATCGAAAGCTGAGCTAGTATCGTAGATGAACGATGACACGGGATCATCCATGGTTGAACTAGGCACATACATGGAGTTAGCAGCTTTGCTAGCATTGAAGTCTTGAAACACAATGTCGCCATTCATAACGCAACTATTTGCTATGTCGGAATATATTTCTGGATCAGACGCCTTTTTTGCTTGAATGACCTACAAAATTAATTAGAGATTAAACAAATACTAAGTGCTACAAAGATTATCGTATTGGAAACAAAACGAAGCTAGCTTACGTAGCTATGATCTTCAAAATCTTGGTAAACCAAGATGAAATCTCCTAGTTGTATGCCATGGGCATTGACGAAGTCCCCTGCGACAACTCAATGTCAAAATTACGATATCTATGTTAAATCATAACGTGAACACAAACTAAGCCCTGTTTGATAACGATTTTGAGGAGAGCTTACCCGTGTTTTCAAGTACGTACATTCTACTATTGTTATTCGGCCAAAACCTGCAAAATTCAACCATTTTAAAAACATAATTATACATATAAAACCAAACCGAACGGAAAAAAACCGAACCGAACCTATATTTAAAGTTCCAAACATGGACTCCATCCAAGTCATCCATGGTGATGATGATTCCTTCTTTAGACTCCAAAGTTGGGAGGTGAGTTTCAGCTGCTTTCTGAAAAATAATTTGTGTTAATTAGTTATTAATTAATTAATTAATTATAAAGCAAATTATAATTTTGTTCATGAACACCTTTGGGAGTATCATTCTCCTAAGAGAGCTAACATCACTGTTCTTCAGCTCCTTCTGAAAAAGAAACTTCAGCCTTCTTGGATCAATTACCTGTTCATTCAATTTACAAAATAATAATAATAATAATAATAAAACAATTTTTTTTTTTTTTTTATCACAACTAACAAAAACCGGATCGAACTGAACTGAACCGAACCGAACCAAAAATCCAACCCTAAACCCGAAAAATCCTTTGTTTTAAAACTCGACAACTATATCAAAAATCGAACCGAAACCCTAAATCCTAAAAAACCCTTAGTTTCAAAATTTAGAACTAAATCAAAATCGAACTGAAATGAAGAATCCCGACCTGAAACCCTAAATCCTAAAAAAAAAAAAAACCCTTAGGAATAAACCCGAAACCCTAAACTCAGAAAGACCCTTCGTTTCAAAAGTCAACATCTATATCAAAATCGAACCGAAACGAAGAATCCCAACCCGAAACCCTAAGCGTTAAAAAACTCTTAATCAAAACTAAACCCAACCGTGATCTCCTTACGAAGAAAAAAAAAAGTTCAAAAACACCAATGACACGGACCCCAACACGACCACCTAAAAATCCAACATTAGGATCGAAAACATAACATCAAAGAAGAAGAAAAAAGTACAAGAATGATATCGTGTTTGATGAACCAAAAAAAAAAATAATTATTAAAAACCATTGTAAATTAAAAAAAAAAAAAAAAAAACAAATATAAATAAATAAATATTTGGATTTTAGTAATAATCAATTTGTACCTAAACATACATGGTAACCCTCCTTTGATTCGCTTACCTTTTGCTCGTTTTCATAAACTACTTTATTTAGGGTTGCCTTACAAATTCTTAACCCTTAAGTAATTCACCTCCTTCTTCCACTTTAATTACCAAATTACCCAAACGAATGCATTTCTTTTATTTTCTTTTATTTTATTAATATTGTTCTTGCACCATTGCACCAATCCATGCTGCTGCTTCTAACTCCCTCTTGTATATTTGGATTATTTTTAGTGCCTCAAAAATATTAATAAAATATTTTACTCATATTTTATATGAATTTTTAAATAGTTATATGACTTTAATCCTATGCTCGGGAAGTTCATAGTTTTTTTTTTTTTTTTTTTTTAATTAAATTTTATTGGGGTTTTTTTATAAAAAAAATCCCTTTAAATCCCATATAAAAATTTGCATTACATAAATAAATAAATAAATAAATAAATAAATAAAGAGAGTAAAAGAAGTAGAAGAAGAGTACCCGAGGGGGAGGGAGGTGGGCGGAAGAAGAAGAAGGAGGAAAGGAGAAGTGAAGATTAGAAGAAGAGCGGCGCTGGCGGGCCATCCTCTTCTTGCGGTGGACTCCACCGCCGCCGAAGCCGGGAACCGCGGCGGCGAGATCGGGGGAAGCGGCGGCGAGGCGGTTGACGTCTTGGAGTGGGCAGTGATCCTGGTTGATGATGGACATCATGATGAGGAGGAGTAGGAGGAAGAAGGGAGAGAGGGGCAGTAGATAATGTGCTATTTTTGGCAAGAGAGAAAGGGGAAGTGTGGAAGCTAAGGGAGTAGTGAAATAGAGGAAGGGAGTGGTGAGTGGTTAAAAACAACCATAACAATGACAACAACAACTATATCTCTATATCTATATCGGTCTACACACTGCCATTAAATAAATTTAACCGTCGTCAAATATCTGTAAGTACACCATTGAATTAAAAGAAAAGGAAAGTTTTTGTAGGTTTGAGTGAAGGGTGGTTAAGAGAGGTTAACCATGGTTAAGAGGAGGGAGGAGAGAGAGAGAGAGAGAGAGAGAGGGGTAGGGTAGTGGCGAGGAAGTGAGAGACGGATGGACGGTGGGGAGGGATGAAAGTTGGGGAGAGGAGGAGGGATACAGGTGGAGGAAAAGTTCTGAGGTTGCATGCAACGACTATGCCCCAACCCCCGTTTTTTTTATTTAACACTCTTCACTCGCCCTTAATCAATGGCCTTTTGGCGCCTTTCGCTTTGGACTCTCCGTCACCTTTTTNTTTTTTTTTTTTTTTTTTTTTTTTTTTTTTTTTTTTTTTTTATTTGAGTCAAAATAAAATAAAATTATTTTTAGGTCAAATAATAATAATAATAATAAAGAATGGTTTTTATTTTGGCTAACTTTCAAAAAAAAATTAATAATATTTTTAAATTAAAGAAAGTCTAAAAAAAATCTTTTTAACTTAAAACATTAAAAATTAAAAAAATATCATTGTCAATTTTATCATTCATTTTAAAGGAAATATTACTCATAAAAAAATTTAAAATATAAATTTAAGAATGTTATGGGTATTTTTTTTATTTTTAATTATTATCATTTTACTTTTATTCTACTAATTATTATTTTATCATAAAATTGCCATATTAGTGATTCATTAATTATTTAATGGCGCCGTTGATTCGTGGACTTAATGAAACAGTTTCTTCAATTTGGGGACTTTGGATTATACGATTTTTAAATTTTGGAATAAAAAAATTTATTTTAATATTATAAAACAAATTACGTTTAAATATTATTTTTAGTTCTTATATCTTATTTCAATTATTATATATATATATATATATTTTTAGAACTAAATTTTCAATAATATTTTAACTTTTCAAAATTTTAGATAATACCTTAAACTTTACAAAATATATATATATATATATATATATATATATATATATATATATATAACGTTTAATAGCCCTAAAATTAAAAAAAAAAAATTGGAAATAATTTCTGTTCACAAATTGACAATAATTTTTTATTTCATAAAAAGGGGCTAATACTGTCATTAAAATTTTATGGGTATTTTTTTTTATGTATGAGAAATCTTTTAAAAGTTTAAATAATTCTTTTAAATATTATTCACCGTTCAAAGTTTATTTTCAAAATTATCCATAATTGTATTTAAATTTTGTTTAAAATTTAAATATATTTTTTGAAACAAAGTTAATTTAAAAAATTAACCATAATGGTATATAAAATATGAAACAAAAATGACCAAATTTCAAAGAAAAATGATTCTATACATAACTTTGCGTTAAAATTTATGAATTATAACAAAATTATTCGACGAAGAATTTATGCATTAATCAAATTAAAATTTATTCTAAGTCTCTGATACTATTTAAATTATTAAATAAGGTCAAATTAGTTTTTCAAATACGAGTATATCTTTTATGATCTAACTTCTAATTTTTTGATCAAATTATATATATTAACTATAAATTACCATTACTTGTTAAATAAACGTGTCGATCGTAATTGCCAGATTATGACATTGTACAAGAAATAATTATCTTGAAGTAGGGTTCAAATTTCTAGTATATTTTATTATAGTTGATATATTTCAAATCATGGATATAAGTCAGATATGAATGTGCCAAGATGAACTTTACTCGTTCAAAATACGATAACTTGCTTTTTTTGTATGAGGACAAAGTCAGACTTAGGCATGACAAGAGTGTCAGACAAGTTTGTTGGCATGTAATGCCTTAGCATAAGAAGGGATGCATTGCGCTATGTGGACCCATCTACCTAGTTAGTGACAAAAAATAAGACCAACACAATCGATGTCTTTACGGGACGAACGTGTTCGAGACTGAGTTAAGGATCCTTGTTTTCTAAATTGGGGCCGACACTATGTAGACTGATCATGAGCTTGAATTTCCTCTCACGGACTGTGTTGTACTCCTGTATGGTCTCCAACGTATAGATAAGTTTTATTTATTTTAAATATGAGAACTAAATCTTTGACGTTGGAAACGAGTGCATACTCGAGTTTTTATTAAAAAATTTAAATATTTATTTTTTAATCAATATCTTTTAACAATAAATTTGGTCGAGTAATACTTGAATTAACCAAATTTATTTGGTGTAAAAATTTCGGGGTAATTTTAATAATTTAAGTAAATAAAGATTTTCAGGGATTCAGAGGGGTATTTGAGTTTGATTCTCTCGTACTGATTGATTTATCCAAAATTTCGCGGCATTCCTTCAGGCGACGCGCCGGTCTCCGGCGAGAAGAACAGAGAATGGAAGCGAGGGTGGACGGCGTTGCAGAAGAGGGAGAAACGAGGAAAGTTGAATTTGAAGCATCGGAGATAGAGTACGTAAGCTATGGCGGTGAGCATCACTTGCCTCTTATCATGAATCTCGTCGATCAAGAACTCAGCGAACCCTACTCCATATTCACCTATCGTTACTTCGTATATCTCTGGCCTCAACTATCATTCCTGGTATTAATCTCGCTTTTGTGTCAAATCTCTGACTAATTAGATCATGATCGTTGCCGTTCTCTTTAATCTTTGTTGTTTCTTCAGGCCTTCCATCGAGGAAAATGTGTCGGGACGGTGGTTTGTAAGATGGGAGAGCATCGGGGCACTTTCAGAGGGTACATTGCCATGTTGGTGGTTATCAAGCCTTATAGAGGCAAAGGCATTGGTAATTTTTCCTTGCTTTTCTTGTTTTTGTGAAGTGATTGTTACTTATCCGTGTTTGATAATGGCTCATTTACTCTAATGCGTGATCATTGAAATTTTCGGTTCTAGTTGCTCGAAGCTGTTTGAGTTATCCTATCTGGAAGCTTTCAATAGTTTTCCATGTAAATTGGAGCTGTAATTTCTTCGGAAGATTCATTTGTATAATTTACTTGGATTTCTATGTTCTTACAATATAATCACATATTAGAATAGTTTCTACTCAATTCTCTTTGTCAAGAATGCCTGCTTACTCTAGATCATGATCCCAATTTTCTCTTCCTAACGGTTGATTATGTTGGATGATGAAAGTCCAACATCGGCTAATTTAGGGAATATCATGGGTTTATATTCAAGGAATACTCTCTCCATTGGCCTGAGGCCTTTTGGGGAAGCCTAAAGCAAGGCCATGAGAGCTTATGCTCAAAGTGGACAATATCATACCATTATGGAGAGTCGTGTTCGTCTAACCGATTAGAACATCATTTGTTTATTACCATAACATTGAACCTACTCCATAATGTTTTTCCATTTTAAATTTGGTTTTAAGACACATTATTTTTGTTATAAACCTATTAGAGTTCAAGATCTTCATTATTATCAATTCTTTTTCTCTGTATTGTAGCTTCCGAGCTTGTCACGAGATCAATAAGAGTCATGATGGAATCAGGTTGTGATGAGGTATGTAGTATCAAATATAGTATTCCCTCTATATTATATATGCCGATATTTATGTTCCTTTATTTATTCATTAAAGGAGTCAAAGCAACTAACTTGTGAGTTCCCTTCCCGATATGACATCGATTGATTTCAAACTTTTTTAATTGAATCACTGAACTGCAAGTTAATAGTCCGCATCAACTATTGTTCCCTTGTAAAGAAAAATGCAGGTCGAGCATGCATCTCTGATATTATACTTGCTATGTCATTTCCTTTAAACCCAAGTGGTCTTTTCACCACAAATTATTCTCTTTCAATCCCGTACTCCTATTTGGTACTACTTGGTAAATTGGATTTGGAGACATCCGCTTTCATCAAGCTCTGTTTTGATCCAAGCGAGTGCCTTTCATACAACAATTAGAAAGAAAATTAGCTTAACTCCACCATGTGATATTATGTCATAACTTTACTGAAGATAATTACAACTACAAGTCGATCATTCAATGTGGAAATTTTAATTGATGATATATTTAGTGATCTAGCCTCATATATCTCTCTATTAAGTTGACTGTTGTTTTCTTAAATTGGAGAAAATGGAATATATAAAAAGGATTGAAATGTAACAATTTAAAGTATTGATGTGTTTCCTTAAACGAACCCAAAGGTTGGGTAGTAATGACCTTTAATTTAGATAAGAAAAAAAGGAAACTTTGAAACCCCTTGGAGATAGCTACCAGATATCGAGTATTTTTCCAAGTGTCCTAACTATAAAATGAATTAAGTTGTAGTGAAAGTTTGATCATGAGTTGGTGAACTAGAGAAGTCAGAAGGTTTTGGGTGTTAATATGGCACATAAGTTATTAAATTAGAAGAGAATTCATTTCCTCTCCTTACTAAGAAGGTTTGAGGTGAGCAAGAATGCTGGGGAACATGTTTACTTTTGAGATTACAGGTTTAGGGTTTGGTGGCTACCTATCTTAGATATTAATATTATAGCAAGTATCTCAATTCCAATGTTGTAGAGCTAGGCAACAAACTTACAGGATTTGTTGATTAGATGACTTGTGCTCAACTTGTTTTGAACACTTTCAGTTTAAAAGAAAAGGAGCATTCTCATGTTTGGAAGTATAATCGTTTTGAATGTGGCTCAAATTTACCAGGTTGAATAATCTTTGGGAGTTATCCTGAATGGATGGTATAGATGTAGCTGGACCTGATCTGAATTTGAGATTAATGGCTTATGTTGAATTTTCCTGCCGTAATACCGTCTTGAGTAGCACATTTTTTCTTTTTACATGATTTGACCATTTGAACCAAATTGTAACAACCCAAGCCACCGCTAACCATTATTGTTCTTTCTGGGCTTTCCCTCAAGGTCTTAAAATGCACCTGTTAGGGAGAGATTTCCACGCTCTTATAAAAAATGCTCTATTCTCCTCCCCAACCGATGTGGGATCTCACACAAATCATTTCGTATTTAGTTTAATTCCATAAAATAGCGTGGCTACCATTTTCTTACTCATGTTTTGTATTGTTTGAGTAGATGGCTAATGCAATTATTATGCCGACTCCCTTTCAAAAGAAATCAAATATCTTTTAGAAAAACGTGGTTAAACCTCCTTGTAAGGATGTTGTCAGACTCTTTTCATGCTGGCCTTCTCATTTTATCCAAGTCTGCAGCCACTCTTTTATTTGCTTTGCCTATTGGAATTGTTTTCTATAATTTTTTCGACCTCGAGGGAGAGGATCGCTCGTTTCCTCTTCTTTATGAGCTTTGTTTTGTGCAATGTGACATGCTAACTTACAACTTACCATCTGATACTGTCTTGACTGAAGGTCACACTAGAAGCTGAAGTTACAAACAAAGGAGCACTTGCACTATATGGTCGTCTCGGGTTTATAAGGGCAAAACGACTCTTTCGTTATTACTTGAATGGAGTTGATGCATTTCGTCTAAAGTTATTATTTCCACACATGGAATCACACCCATCCTCGAGTTTGATGGCTAACAGAGATGAAAATCGACAGGAAGGCGACAGTTTATAGCACGAATGGTACGATATCCATCTATTTTTGAAGCTAAGCAATTTATGTGAACACTATTCACCCTTTTTTTCTTCAATAGTTACTTTGTCCGCCAGCCATGTGATGTTGTGCATTAAACCCGACCCGAATGGTTCGTCTGATATCTCTTTGATGTTGTCCTTAGTAGTTAGAAGTGGACAGAGCTTTATAAAGTTGTTTATTCTGTAAACTTAGCCATCTGAGTTCTCCCTTTATGGTGTTGTAAACTTGTAATGGAATGAGAAACAGTTTTGATTATTTTGTCTATTTGAGAATGGGGATGAGAGATGGATGAGTTTATTGGAATAAAGGATTTTGATTTCCAGTTGAAACTTCTTAAGAAATTATATGGTCTATAAGCCAAATTATTGAAGTTCTTATGTTTTTGGCTTTTTAATTTTGAAGGCGGTGGTTATTTGTGCTTTATCCCAAGAGGTTTAACATTATTTGATGTGGTTCCTCTGATTTGTAGAAGGTTAAATTGATTAGAGATTGTTTATAAACTTAATTGTTAAGTTGTTTTTTACAGGGTTTTTAATGATTTAAATTGTATATCAAATAAAATTAATTAGTTTGGAAGAGATTTTTTATGGTATAAATTAAATTGTTATATTATGAATGTTGTAATGAAAATACATTTTTTATTACAAAAATTCTATTTTTAAATTTATAACAAAATGTTGATAGATGGTATCTCTTCCTTTATATGATGTATTTTCATTACAACATTCATATTTTTAAATTTAGAACAAAATGTTGATAGATGGTATCTCTTTTTTTATATGATCCTATTCTTAAATTTGGATTTATTTTTAAATGATGATTTAAAATTTTATACTTTAATCTTAATTTAAAAAGTAAAGTCAAAATTATATCAAAATCAAAATAAAATTTTATACTTTAATCTTAATTTAAAAAGTAAAGTCAAAATTATATCAAAATCAAAATAAAATTTTATACTTTAATCTTAATTTAAAAAGTAAAGTCAAAATTATATCAAAATCAAAATTGTATCAAAATCAGTGTCAAAATGTACCCTCTTCAAAATCAAAATATCATTTAAAAAGTCAAAATTCTATAAAGTACTCCCACAAAAAGCATACCCTATAGAGTACTACCAAAAATAAAAACACTCATTACAATCAAAATCACATAACTCAACTTAAAACTAAAATAGACTCACTTCTCATCTACTCACGACTTGAAAAAAAAGATATCATACTCAAACTCCAATATCAATAAATTCTAACTCAAACCAATGTGTCACATACTCCGAACTGCTTCCCTCATTCAGGGTGGGGTAGAGATACTGAGGTTTGACGTTTAGCAAAATCATGTTTTATCATTTAAAAAGTCAAAATTGTATCAAAATCAGTGCAATAAAATGTCAAAATTGTATAAAAATTAGACATATAAAAATCAGGTGTCGTCTCTAAATTTGGTGTCAAAATGTGATAACGTGTCTAAATTTGATGTCAAAATGTGTCTAAATTTGGTGTGTCTAAATTTGGTGTCTAAATTGACGTAAAAATGTAAAGCCTGTTAAAGTCAAAATTGAACGTGTCTAAATTTGGTGTCTAAATTTTATGTCAAAATGTGATAACGTGTCTAAATTTGATGTCAAAATGTGATAATGTGTCTAAATTTGGTGTCTAAATTTACGTCAAAATGTAAAGCCAGTTAAAGTCAAAATTCAACGTGTCTAAATTTGGTGTCTAAATTTTATGTCAAAATGTGATAACGTGTCTAAATTTGATGTCAAAATGTGATAATGTGTCTAAATTTGGTGGCTAAATTGACGTCAAAATGTAAAGCCTGTTAAAGTCAAAATTCAACGGGTCTAAATTTGGTGTCTAAATTTTACGTCAAAATGTAAAGCCTGTCAAAGTCAAAATTGAGTGTCATAGTGTCAAAATGTATACAAAATTGAGTGTCATGGTGTCAAGATGTGAAGCGTGTCAAAATCAAAATTGAGTGTCATGGTATAGAAATGTAGAGTGTATCAGAATAAAAAATTGAATGTCTTGGTGGTGTCAAAATGTAAAGCGTGTCAAAATCAAAATCTATACCGTGTCTAAATTTGATGTCAAAATTCAAAATCACAATCAAAATTGACTGTCTTGTTGTCAAAATGTAAAGGGTGGCAAATTCAAAATCTAGGTTGTCAAAATTTAAAATCACAGTCAAAATTGAGTGTCTCAAAATCACATTAAAAATTGAGTTGAAAATTGAGTGTCTAGGTGTAAAATGTGAAGCGTGTAAAAATCAAAATCGTGTCTAAATATGGTGTTAAAAATTTAAAATCACAATCTATTGTCTAAATCTGCCTCAAAATCACCATCTATTCTAAATCTATTATAAATAATGTCAATTATAAATCGTGTTAAAATGGATAAATATTATCCGTGTAACAATGAATACAATTATAGATCGTGTCAAAATGATACAGTATTTTGGTGTCAAAATAAAAAACTATATGTAATGCAGTTTCAAGTGTCAAAATCAATCAAAATCGGTATAAATTTATAAACCTTAGTGTCAAAATTTGTGTTTTTTTATGTGTAACAATCCTATTTTCAATCTTGGTTTGAATCTTATTTTCATAATTCAGAATGCTCCCCCTTAAACAATCCTATTTTTAGGATATATGATTCAAAATCTATATAGTCTCTCAATCTTATCATCTTTATAACAATCCTATTTTTACTATTAGTTATTCCCAACCCTCCTACAAAAATAGAAATTCTATTTTTACAATAAATTAAAAAATTGTTATCCTATTTTTAACTCAAAATCTTCTCTTTATAACAATCCTAATTTTAATTTAGGATTCAAAATGTTTAGATTTTATTTTATGATAATCTTATTTTGAAGATAGTATTCAAAATCTTTTATTTATAACTAATTTTAGTTTTATAATACTATTCAAAATCACATGTCTTAAGAATTCTATTTTTACAATAGTATTCAAAATCTGTATGAATTTTCGTATCTCTCCTCTAACAATTTTAATGTTTTCAATATTTGTCTTTTATAACACTTTAAAACACATTACTATATGTATCTCTCCCCTATAAAAATCACAGTGTCTCTCTCCTATAATAATGTTATATCTCCCCTATAAAATTCACAGTGTCTCTCATTTTAAAACACGAAATAGTGTCTCTTTCTTTATAACATTTCCATTTTTAAAATACATTTCATCTCTCTTTATAACATTTCTATTTTTAAAACATACTTCTTGTTGCAGCACTCTTTATTTGGACTCAAGAAATATCTTTAAAACTACAACACAACAAATTTAAATATACAAATTTATTAACTAAAATGTTAAACATGAAAACTATACCAAACTTAATGTTATTATGACTATCCATAACATGTATAGTAATCACAAACAATAAACGTTTAGTAGGTGACTCTATTGTTAGTCATAAACTGCAAACACATGTAGACATGAATCATGACATTCAATCATATTATAACCTAAAGCTATGGTCGTAAGATCCAATCCCTCTCATATACTCTATGTGTATCAAATAGTTATACATGATTCCATCCATATACTAACCATAAAATATTTCGAAATAATTTTTTAAAGTTTAATAGTAATAATTTTTACAGTACTTTTGATAATAATATTTTTAAAATTTGTTTAAATATATTATTAAATTTTTTTTAAAAAAATTCATTGGTATTTTTTGAAATACAATAAAAAGTTTGTAGGGTATTTTTGTAAATTAGGTTTCCAAACCCTATAAAAAATATTATTATTATTTTTTTATTTCTTTTATAATTCTCCATAGTTTACTTTGTAAATTACTATGTAAAATAGCGCTAAGAACCCATACATAAATTTTAAGTTAAAAAAAGTTTATATTCAAGGTTAAAAATGTTCAATTCCACTTATTTATTTTTTTGTCTCATAAAAATAAAATATTCAAAATTAAATTAAATTGTTACTCATTTGAGAAATTAGATTTTTAATATCAAATTATTACAAAATTAATAGGAAAATGACTTGTGGTTACCATAACAATACTTCATCATTTTTAAAATATATTCAAAATTAAATACCTCTCTATTAAAATATTCTCTTTTGTTTTTTAAATATGTATGTAAAGGGTCAATAAGTGTGTTAAAATGTCTAAATTTGGTGTCAAAGATAAATCATGTCAATATGTTATAAATCATGTCAAAATAGATATAGTGTCAAAATCTCAAAATCTACGTGTAATTTGGTGTCAAATGTAAAATCTGTAAAAATTGGTGTCAAAATCGGTATAAATCTAGTGTCAAAATCTATGTATTTTTTCTTTCAAAATTGGTGTCTTTTTTTTATAACAATCCTATTTTTATAATATGATTCAAAATTTCACGTATCTCTCTCTCGATAAGAATCCTATTTTATTCACGATCATATTTTATATTTTTATAATTATAAACAATCTTATTGTAAAAAACCCATGCTAAATCATCCTATTTTTAGGATAGGATTCAAAATATATACGGTCTCTTTCCTTAAAGATTCTATCAATTTTTAGTCTCTCCTTATACAATCCTTTAAAATAGTATTCACTATCTCTTTCTTGAATCTTTCCTTAAAGATTCTATCAATTTTTAGTCTCTCCTTATACAATCCTTTAAAATAGTATTCACTATCTCTTTCTTGAATCTTTCCTTAAAGATTCTATCAATTTTTAGTCTCTCCTTATACAATCCTTTAAAATAGTATTCACTATCTCTTTCTTGAATCTTTCCTTAAAGATTCTATCAATTTTTAGTCTCTCCTTATACAATCCTTTAAAATAGTATTCACTATCTCTTTCTTGAATCTTTCCTTAAAGATTCTATCAATTTTTAGTCTCTCCTTATACAATCCTTATTCACTATCTCTTTCTTGAATCTTCATAACATCTAGATCCTATTTTTATATTTGTAATCTCCTATTATAGCAATCCTATTTTAAGATAGTATTCAAAATAGGTACGTGTCTTCTTTTTATAACAATCCTATTTTTTAGGATAATATTCAAGATAAATACGTGTTTATTTCTATTTTTAGAATAATATTATACGTGTTTATTTCTTGATAACAATTATATTTTTATAATAATACTCCAACTTTGTCTATTTCTTTATAACCGTTATATTTTTATAATAGTATTCTATTTTTATAATAGAAATCTATGTGTCCAGAATCTTATTTTTATATCATTTCCTTCTTTATAACAATCCTACAGAAATTTTATTTTTACAATAGGATTAAAAAATAAGTGTCTATATAAATATGTACTGGTCTCTTATAACAAACCTATTTTTATAACAAATTCAA